AGGAAAGTACCTCGGCAATACGCTTATCCCAAACCCATGCTAGATTTTAAGGAACAGAAAAATCCTTGACCATTCCTAGACCTCTGTTCTCTACCCTGGGTGATAGCAAGGATGGTCCAAAGAGGCTTTACAAAGCAGTGATCAAGAACACACTCCATGGGCCTCCCTGATGGCGCAAGGGGTTAAAGCACCGCACTATGAAGTGATCTGCAGCCTCTGCAGCATGAGTTTAATCCCCGGCCAGGGAGCAACCCACATGGCGCAGCAGACTTCTCCTGTCTCGCCCACTGCTCCCTTCAGCAGTGTATTTCAGTCAATCTGCCTGTTCTGCTCCCTACTCTGTCGCTGGTGAATCCTCTCACCCCCCCATTTCTGTCCTGTACCCCAGCTCTTGTATGCATAAATAAATAAATCTTAAAAAAAAAAAAACAACACTCCAGATACTGGGCAAGGTATTTTGAGCGTTAACTTTCTTATGTGTAAAATAAAGCAAACATCTCTCTCACAGGGTTTACTGTAAAGTCTAAACAAGAGAAGGTATGCAAAGTACTCCTCATGGTGTGACACGTATTCAATAAATGTTATTACTAAAATTATTATCATTGCTACTATTGGGGTTAAAAAGTAACACTAAGAATTACATAAAGAAGGCTGCTTACATTTATGGGAGGCACCCAAATCTGAATCTTATTTCCAGTTCAAGAGAAAATGGCTAATTCAGATGGATGTGAGTGTGATGAATTTAGAGCAACCATCTGTTCTCATCCAATGGAGCTCCATGAATGTTAAATTGAGCTGAGTGGCTCCCCAGGCTACTCAGGGGGCAAGGTGGGTAGCCGCTCCATTCATATAGTGCGTTTTGTCCACTTGGAGTTAGGAGGAGCTAACTCCTGTCCATCCTTCTTCTTATATTCCAGAAAAATTAGGGTTCTAGCACTGACTTGGCATCCTCTCAGTATCCCTATGAAAATCCCTTCCCTTCAAGGCTGACTGCAGGTGACTGGTGAGGATGATCTCCAACACTCATCATCCGTGACCACCATTCCTTCCCACTGGGACTGTCGCCATGTTGCAAGGCTAAGTCCCAGAGGCAGCAAGAAGTCGTATCTCTGGGCTCTCCTGAGCAGGTCCCCGAACCTGTGCATTTTCAGTTCTTTCCATGAGAACATCATCTGTTCCTTGTCTACCTCCAACTTGTCCCCAAATGTTTAAAGTGAGCTAGAAGTGGGCCTCCCCTGGTGGCGCAGCGGTTGAGCGCTGGGTTGCGAGGCTGCCACAGCCTCTGCAGCACCAGTTCGATCCCCGGCCACCTGCGAGGGTCCCACAAAAAATAAATAAATAAATAAATAAATAAATAAATAAATAAAATAAAAAACCATAAAGTGAGCTAGAAGTAAATATGCTTGGAGAATCTCCCTCTGGAACACTGAAGACAAACTAGGGCATTCAAAGGTGAGGGTAAGATTCGTAGCTGAAAAACAAGAAAAACAAGAGAAAGCATGACAAATAGAAATTCCCAAAGGTAATGGAGAGGTGATGGTCCAAGGGCTGGAGAACAATCAGACTCTGAGGTTGTCCTGGCCAGGAGCTTAGCAGCAGTCCCCTTATACCATGGGCTGTGAAACAACAAAACCAACGAGGCATTTGCAAGTTAAAAGAGAGAAACTTCAAAGAGCACCTCTCCAAAACAAATTAGCTAGTGTCATTTCTCTTTGGCCAGAAGCTATCCATGATACTATTTACAAATTAGAATTAAGTAAATATTGGTGTTCTACCTTCCATGTCTCCTTCATTGGGAGAGGTGTCGGAAGGCCAGAAAACATCCAGTTGCAGCAACTGTGCTCACGATTAATTTTGGAGACAGAGAGGACATCATGACTTCAATGCATCATAATCTAGAAAGCCCGAGGTGAGTCGGGGTGACTGAGGAAGGAATATCTTCAAGTTCACCTGTTCCTTCATCCATCTACCCATCCCCAAGCATTTGCTGAGTGACGACTGTATGCCAGGCACAGCGGTGGAGGGTGGCGTGAGGGAGGGTTCAAAGACAGTCCGCAGGAGAAAACGACAAGCGCAGTGTGGAGAGCGGAGTCGCGGTACTTTGAGGGGACAGGCAAGGAGGAGGCTTTTCTCACTGGCGGCATCCAAGGAGCTGGACTGGGGGAAAGGAGGGCCTTGGTGACCAGAGAAGAGGAAACGCAAACCCCATGGAGCCAGGCTGAGCCTGTCCTGGGGTGGGAGCCACAAAATATCAACCTGAGCTTGTCTGAGCTGAACCAGAACCCAGGATCCAGGGTTGCGCCAGTCTGCTCCACCTTCCAGAGCTGTCTGCTGCCCGTTCCGCACCTGAGCTCCAGCCCCAGAAGCCCCAACGAGATGCTTGCGCTGGGGGTGTGGCTCAGGCATGAGATATTTTTTCACAAACTACCCAGGAACTGCTAATTTTGACCTAGGATGAGAACCCTGCTCCAGGGGAGACTCGCTCGCCTTGGGACCCACAGAAAACACCCGGCTTCTTCCGGCCTCCTTGACACACCTGAGCAGTCCCCCAGGCAACAAGTGTCTCTAGGAAACGAAGACCTGTCTCCCCCTCTGGAGGGGCCGGCTGGCTTCGTGGCCCACAGACTGCACCGCCGGTCTCAGCATAACTCCTGTTCCCCCTGCTTAGTGGCTTCAATGAGTCTGGCACCCCTGTGAGCTCCGGCCTCCTCTTAGAATCCGTGGGATTGCTACAGATAACTGCAGAAACATCTGTGCTGGTAGATCTAACCTCTGGTGAGGCATGGGTCCATTGGAGAATCTCATCAAACTCTCAATCCTTTCCTCAACAGAACACACGTACCTAAAAGCAAAAGTGAACCCTGTTTTGGGGATAACAGATTCCGCGAGCATCGTCCCCAGGCGGCCGCGAGGAAGCCTCTCGTGAGAGGGGTGGATGGGCTCGGGTCTCCCTGGCCAGGGAAGTTTTGCTCTGCTTAAAGCTTGATTCATACCCAAGCTCTTCTCACCCCATCTAGCTCTCGAGTCTCCTCGGATGATAACTTTTATTACAGGAGGCAAAACCGGTGAGGGGCCTGGCCTTTCCAACAGGCGGGGTAACGCATAGGGAAGCAGAGCGAGGTGAAAGTGGAGAAGGATGCATCAGTAAGAGAATGAGAACCAGATGCCTCTCCAGGGCAGGGTGAAAAGAAAGACAGCTGCCCGAGGGGCCTGCTCCAGGGGCTTACCTCTAATCAAGGCTCACCAGGAACAAAAGCAGAGGAAGGCGAGTCGGGAAATCGCAGCCTCAGAGAGCCTGGGAGTGCAAGGTGGAGGTGAGGGAGGGCTGAGGCCAGCGCCCGAAGCAAGGCGGTCTTCTCCGAAGCCTGAACAGGCGGCCGTGGGCAGTAGGAGAACACACGCCGGTCGCCGGGCATTGCTGTTTTCTAGCAGAAGTCAGGCACTGTGGGTCCACGAGGCAGGAAAACACACTCCCCACGGGGTCATTTTATACATTCCAGAGTGTCCATATGTTGGGGCAGGCATGACCACTGAGCAGGTTTTCTGATCCAGCAGGCCGGGTCAAGGAGGAGTCAGAGTCCTCAGTGGCTTTTGCAGGCTTTTATTGGGATTTTACTGGGTACACAGCAGGCAGGGGCTGGCCTCCCAGCCTCCAGCAAATCCTCACTCTATCTGGGCTTTCTCTGGTGTTCGCTCTGCTTCTCTTCTTCCTCTCTCGGCTTCCGTTTGTTCTTGGTTTCTGCTGGCGTCCCCGTGACGCCGCCCGTATGAACTCCGTCTCTCAGCCCAGGTGCACCCACTCCAGGTGCCGCCATCAGGCCTGCTTTCAGGACCACAGGGTTCCCTCCTCCATCCTAATGGCGGGAGGGCAGAAAATCCTGATACTTTTACCTTACCCTACACCATAAATGCAGGGGGCACGAATTCAAAAAGAAAATATGCTTTATGGATTTACTTGCAGTGAGGCTAAGGTATTGTTTCTCCTCCAACTCAGTGATGGCCTGGTACCCAGCACGCTCCACCCTCCACTCCAGCTGGGCCCATTTCCTCTGCATCCTCAAGGACTTCCTCCTCCTGCTGACCCCTGTTCATCCCCCAAGCTGGTGCTCATATCGCTTGCCCTGAGGCTGAGCAGGCCATTTTCCTCCTGTTAAATGGATTCTGTGTGTTCTTCAGTCTTCAGTCCTCACCACCTCCCAGGAAGCCTTCTCAGATGATTTCCATGCCTTCCAGAAACAAGATGGTCTCTGCACTCTCATGACTCGATTTCATGTAACTCCAGACGCTGCTTTGTCTGATAAATAGAACAAAGTAAAAGGGGGCCATTAACCACAGGTGAGTTTTATAGAAGGAAAGTTGTGTTGAACTAAAGTCTCTTTGGCCTGCTAAGTGCTTTGTCCAGGCACATGTGGAAGCAAGATAGAAACCAACTGAGTTGCCTTCCGGCAGTGTGCATAAGGTGTGGTCCGGAGAGACTAGCATAAAAATCGCCCTAGTTTCACACCCTACATTTAGAAAGGGCTAGGAGTATACCTGAAAGGTGACACTGTGGGAAGGGACAAACAGCTCAAGAAGAATGTAAAATAATAGAGATATAGTGGTTCTGAAATAAGTCATGCAGGAAATCAACTTATTGGAAAAGACAGAAATAAAAATATTCTAAGTTTTGATTTTGGGAGTTCGTATCGCAAATTTAAGAAGTTGAATATTATATCAGCATGCGGGGGTGGGGGGGGCTGTTTCAAATAAACTATACACACACATCCATTGTGATAGAATAAGATAAAGTAATTACTACAGTATCTCAAAAGTATTTTCCCATAAATCTCTAGGTTCCACTTTTGCTGATGATGACCCATCTTTTCTGAAAGCACTTTACTTGAAGTGACTACTCATCCTTAAATTAGGAGGTAAATACTTTCACTGGGGTACTTTGACTTTGAGTATCTCAAAGTGCCATCCAATGTATGTGTGGTTCTCAGGTCATAGTGGACTATTGTCTGATGTCATCAGGTCTGGGCTACCTTCTAGATGTGGCAGAATATCAACCCTGGTGAGTTCCAGATTTTCCCTTTTGGTCAAGTGCCCTTGAGTGTTGACATGTCACAGGATTTGGATTCTCCAAGGGTTAATTCTGGGTAGTGATGCTTCTCAACTCCATGCACATATTCCAGTGTTCAGAAAAGGGGGTTTCCTGGCATGATTGGTGAACCAATTTCAAAGCAAAGAAACCCCTCTGAAGTTTCAACATAACCCTGCCCCCATCACTACTACCTGAGGCCTCTGATACTGGTTGTGTATTCCCCTTTATCTTTACTTCACAGATTTGTCATATTAGCATTCCAGCTCTTTTAATTCAGAAAATAAAGTACAGGAATAGAACTAAAGTTTTGTCGTTAAAATTCTTGAAATTGCCTCAATGAAATAAAATGAACACAAAAGACCTGTAGTTATAATTTCTTAAACCTTAGTTCATGGTATCATCAGTATGCCTACATGTAATTCACCCTGCCCAGTGTACCTTTATCATCAATTGCACACCTGTAATGAAATGAGCTTGTGAGTCAGCAGCAAGATGGGATTCTATGCATGGGAAGTTCACTCTGGAGCTCATCCAAGAGGATGGGAGGACCTTCTTATACACTCCCCTCCCAACTTCTTTTGAAGCAGCACCCCAGTCTGTCCCCCAAGCCCAACACTGAAGAATGGGAGAGTACCCACTTGTTCTCCTATGAGGGTCTCCTGTGAACCCCTGGAGTGACCCAGTTGATGCCATCCTTGCCTTGGTGGCCATGTTGCTGTGAGTGTTTGTTCATCTGTTCACTAGACACCCCTTGTCCGAGGGTATCCCAGGCACAATGATGCATGTCAAGGTTGCAGGTGGAAACCAATATCAACAGGTGTCAAACGCTATAATATACAAGAGCACAAGATGGGATAGCTTTCATTCTGCCTAGGCAAAGGAGGTTAAGTCAGGCACGAGTAAGAAGCATGAGTAAGAGGCATGCAGTGTGGCTGCGACCACAAAGAGGAATGGTGGGACGTGAGGTTGTGGAGATCAAGACCAAATGCCCTGGGCCCTAAATGCCAACCTAGACAATTTGGGCTTAACGTGGAAGCAGTGTGGGTTTGGTGAGGGCTTTTGAGTTAGGAGGTAACATGGTACGATGTGGGCTTTAGAAAGAAACACTGATCTTACTGAGGAGTGTGAGCAGATTGGAGAGGTAGAACTTAGAGCTCAGAAGTGGTTAGTTTTCATGTAAATAGAACAGAAGACAGGCGGTGAGAACTGCTTTGGCTTTGGAAAATATGTACGACATGTAAAATAGTCATCTGTTGACTAATTAGATTGAGTGTGTGTGAGTGTGTGTGTGTGTGTGTGTGTGTGTGACAGAGAAGACAGAGATTCCAAAGATTCAATGTTTATCATGTTTGTTAAGCTAAAATACGTGGCGTGCAAGGAGCAATGAAGCCTAGAAATGGAGTGGAGACCGGGCAAGGCAGCGGGAAACAGCTGGTGCCAGAGGAGAGACGGAGATTGGCTCTGGAATGAAGGCAAACATCGGCAGCATGCGAGAGGGCATGGCTATCAGCAGAGACATAGGGGCATGGTCCAGAGTGGGGAGTGATGAGGATCAGAGAAGTAGAAGGTGACCCCAGAGAGCAAAGGTGACTCCAGGAAGGAGGAGGGACTGACCCTGTGAAATGCATCAGGGTCAGTCATTGGCCACATCTGCCCTTATACTGGACAATGACATTTATTTAACTTTGGATGATGACCCTGCATGTCCCCTTGGCAGAGAAACATTTTTTTAATTTTTATTTATTTATGCATACAAGAACTGGGGTACAGGCCAGAGGTGGGGGGGTGAGAGGATTCACCAGAGACAGAATGGGGAGCAGAACAGGCGGATCTACTGAGATACACTGCTGAGGGGAGCAGCAGGGAGACAGGAGAGGTCTGCTGTGCCTTGTGGGTCACGTCCCTGTCCTGGGATCCAACTCATGCCACCGTGGCTGGAGATAGCTTGACAGCCCTGAGACTTTAACCCCTGCACCCTCAGGGAAGCCCAGAAACATTTTTGAATTGAGTTTTTTAATTCAATTTTTTAATAGTATACATCAAACACAGCACTAAGATTTATAAACAGTGACTCTAACAGGCCAGAATTACTACCCCCATTTTACAGATGAGGAAGCTGAACCACGTAGCGATTCATTACCTCCCTCAGGGGAAACCATAGTTGATCCTGAGTCCTGAACTCGAGGAATCTCAGCCTTGGGGCCGCTCTCCTAGCCCAGACCACCAGTAACCAGCTCCTGGGCATTCTGGGAACAAAGCTGTGGAGGCAGAGAGGAACCAGGCTCATTTCGTTACAGGTATGCAACTGACAATAAGTAATCCAAAGCAAGATCGGTCCATGGGACACTCAGCAAACACCTTAGTTTAGGGAACGGGCCGTGACTGGTGGTTTGTTAAGGGCAGAGGTCCCTGTTCACCTGCCTCCCCATGGGATGAAAGTGCATAACAACACTAAACCCCAGGGTTACCCGAACTCTGCTTCATTTTCCTCCCAGCCCACAACCAGACCTTCCCTTCTCCCCTCCTGGTCTCCGCCTCTGCCCTGGCCCTGTCCTGTCACGGGGAGCTGGTTCTGAGATCAGAGGCCAGTCTCTTGTCTGAAATTCTCTGGCCGTTGTGTCTCCAGAGGGCAGGTTCCCCCCCTTACAGATGTGCAATTGTCCATATCTAGCAGGCGAGAGGGAGGAAGGGACCTTTGAGTTATGACTGGGACCTTGTACTTTGCTAAACTGCTCCCTAGTATTTGAAAGGGAGGCTTCTGGTCTCATGTCAGCTCATCTCCTGTCCCTCGTTCTCCACCCAGCACCCAGCAGCTGGGGAGCAGCGGTTGGACCAGGGGTTGTCCTCTCTGCAAAGCACAATCTGGGAAAGGAAGACATGCACCCTCTCTCGATACAGGGGGTGCACCAGGGCTCACTTTCTCACTGTTTGTACTTCTTTCTGACCCAACAGAGAAAAAAATCAATTTTAAAACGCCAATTAAAATTCCCATCTCCAGGTGCACATTCGGCTACAGTAGTCGACATCCTACTCCCCCCCCCTTACAGATGTGTAATTGCCCTGAAAGCAGAGTTGTCCAGAAGTGAAATATTAAACAATTCAAACCTAAAATGTTCCAGAGGTAGAGCAGAGAGAGCGGGACATGTGTAAGTAACGCACAACGTAGAACCTAAAAACATGCGCCGAGCGCACACGGCGTAGTGCACTTTTGTGGCTGCTAAAACTATAACATCTGGAATGCCATTCTGGAAAACTTCCAGATGTTTTCCATGAGGAACACTTTGTAAAAATTGTTAGCCTTCTAGGCATTTGTGAATTTTGTAAGGAGAGTACACTCCCAGGCCCACATAGGAGCAAATATGGGATTATAAAGTGCTAAATGCTTTTCACAACTGTATAAGCAATAATGCACTTTGGGTAAATATTCAGGGAAAATTATTTTTACAGACTAAGTGAATGGATACATTCCAAACTGCAATTAGATTTGTGTTGCAGAGAATCAGGCCTATAGGACAGTCCTTCTTAAGGCAGCTGGCGCGGGAGCCAAAGGCCCTAACCTGGGCAGCATCACACACCCTGGTCATTCATTTCTTCTTTTGTAGTCCTTCCAAAGCTGGAAGAGTCCAACATTGTTCCCTAGCTTGTTATATTTATCTTCCTTCCCATGGATTTTTATATTGCATTTTATAAATCCGGCTTCAATTTATATGTAAGTCCCGTAGTCATTAGCATTACGTTAAAAAAAGAAAGGGGAAAAAAACATTCAGGCAACAGTGCTTGGGAGCCTTTAGAAGAATGGTTAGTTTTTAAAATGCGTAATATATAAACATCTTAAAGGAATGCCCAGAGTCTCTTTTGAAATCAGAAATTATGTGAAGCAAGGAAAGAATCATAAAAGCTTATTGATTTCCCAAACCCACTGAGTAAAAGTATTTTTAAACCAGGATTCACATAAGGGATGCATTTGACACATCAAGAGAAACTGGAGCCCAGGCTCCGTGCAGCCACATCAGATGCTGCGCCCAGCCTGCTTTGTTTACCATTACAAAGTGAAAAGAAATTTGCTTCTCCTCCCCTGCGCCCTTTCCCTGGAGGATGGCGATTCTTCTTGATTTTGTCCTTCCTTATAAAATGGTCGGAGTTAAAATGTCCATGAGTCACAGTCAGAGGGCTGCCCCCAATGCCTAGAGGGCCTTCGCTCCCGAAACGTTTTCATTTGGAGGCTCTGAGGCTTTCCACTTCCGTCAAAAGCCTTTGCACTGGGATCTGCAGACTATGACCAGGAAAGCTCTGGAAGGGCAGAGCACCTGGAGCTCACATCAATAGGTGAGCCTGGAGGCCAGGAGAAATAAGCCCCAAGGTTGCCAGGGTAGGGGAGCGTGGCGACCTTAGGCAGAAGACAGTGGTCTTCTAGTCTGTCCCCTCCTGGCTCTTTCTTCTTCATTGCCATCGTCATTATCATCATCATCATCATCATCCCTTGTAGTGTTTTGCTCCCCGCCCCAGGGCAAAAGTCAGCAGGGAACCAGATGCCCAGCCGGACATGACGATGGAAAGCTGGAGCAACTCTCAAGGCTTTATTCCCCACAGCCCCAGTACTAGAGTCCCCGTGTGTCACTGCTGCTCCCTGGTTTCTATGGCTGTTGAGACTCCAAGGAGAAAGAGACATGCTATCATTTTGCTGTGAGGCTCCCCGCACGCCGGCTGCAGCCTCGTCAGGTGGTGGGTTTCTGGAGTCCATGCTTAGCACAGGTTACGCTAAGCCTTTGGTGGCTTCCACATGAAAAGAACAGAAAGTCAAGGATATCCCAACTCTACCCCAGGGCTGCTTCAAAGACAAAGGGAAAGAAATGAGGAATGGGAAAATGCCCAAAAAATCAGAAAATATCGCAAGGTCAACCCACCTGGTATAAATCAGCGCGCACCGTCCAGAGGGTCGCATGGAAACCTCACGCTCAGGTGTAATTTGCCCATCCCGAAGTATTTTTCCTAGCAGTGCCAAATGCCATAATGCACTCTGTCAGTGATTTGAAATTATTCTATAAGCTACATATCGGGTACACTATTGTTAATGAAATGCACACAAGATGATGAACAACTTCCTTTTCCTGCTAGAGCCCCAGCTGCAACCAGGGCCTGGATCCTCCGTGCTGTAAATCAGCCCTTTGTACTCCAGGAGGATTCAATGAGCTGCAGGTGTGGGCTCGGGGAAGGCCGCCTGGGATTAGGTAGCAGCATTTGATATGAGATCCCAAACAGCACTGGCAATCGACACGCCACATGCGGCTACAGACTTTGGAGAAAGCAAAGGAAAAACGCTGATGAAATGTGGCACGGGACCATGGAATGCAATGTCAAACTTTCACATCTGCAGGAAAAGAAAGCGAGTTCCTAATTTTACAGTGATGATGTCATTGAGAATTCATGACAGTGGAAATGATGGGCCAAGGTTTGCAAGCTTAACCACTTAGGAGGTTGCTAACCAAAGGCTGAGACTTTTCAAGGGACAGTATAGGTCTAAATGGAATGCTAATTTGCCTTCCTGGCCCGAGGCATCAAGGAGGTGGGGGGGGGGTACACATGTGCCCGTGTGTACACACATTTGCACACGGCCTCTAGAGAGATGGGGACAGGGAAAGGTGGTATTTAAGAGGTTCTGCTTTGCACAGGCATATAAAGCTGATACTTTGCATGCCAAATGTGTTCTTTAAAACATACTGTCTCTGTGTAATTCAGCATAAAACATTGCTAACTGTCCTTAACAACAATATATTTTTTTAAGATTGATTTCAGACACTAAAAATTCACCAGCCAAGAAAAACGATCATTGTTGTTCCCTTTCTCCTTAATGTTCACCACTGGAAAGGGCTTCTTTTTAAACCTTTTTTTATTCCATGGGGCTGAAGAGACACGAAAACAAATCTGGTTTTGTTATGCACATACTGATAAAAAAATACACTGAAGCAAACCTATCTTTAATTTTTTAAGAGTCTGTTTTTCATTAGCTTATCTTGATAGTTTAAGTTAATCATTATTTTCAACCATATATGATTTAGATATTATGTCATTAATTCATGTACAGTCCATCTGAGTAATGATTGTGGTTTTCTACTTTACAAATTCATCTACTTCACCAAGAAACCAAGAGTCAAATTCCATGCAACATCTGGTTTCCATTGAATGTAATTGCCATTTGCAGAGTTATAATCATGTGTTATTGTAAGGACCACGGTGTCAATCACTTCCCTAATGGGGAAAATTCAATGCCTAAATACCTGGGAGAACAAGAAGCTGACTTAAACAGGTGCATTCAGACACTGGGTTTTAAGTAGAATTCTAGCCTACCCATTTAAATAAATCATTTTAAGGAGAAACAATATTCTTTCCATCCCCTGTAGCACGGGAAAGCATAATACCCAGGGTCTCAAGCTCCCATGCTCAGTTCCAGTACTATATCACGCTTAATCCTTTAAAAAATGTACAACTATGCCCATATCATACTGATTCCTTATGTTCCCTACACTGATGGGAACCCCTAAGGCCAGGAAGGATTTCTGAAGACTTTCTGGGGAAGGGGCCATCTTCTGACTGTTCCTGCCTTCCATGAAGTCAGTCATCTCTTTCATAATGAAAATAGGGCAAGTTTGACATAAAGAAAATACGAAACTGCTCAAAATGACCAAGAACATTCTGGTCCTTTCTTGGCCCATGGGGTTTCCTGGGAATAATCATCTAAGAGTTTAAAGGAAACCACGCATCACTGTCCAGTGTGCAAGGTGTAAGTACTTTACGGCAAAGGGAGCCACATTTCCCTGACCTGAATTCCCATTGTGTTTACAAGCCAAGCCTTATTTGAGCTGGTAAATGTTTGGCCGTTCATTCAGAAAACATTTCCTAAGGTAAAAATAACACAAAGGATTATCTTGGACATTCAAGATGCAGAGATGAAAAGACAGACTAGAGGGCAACAGGGTGAATAATTAGAACACAATACAGCAGTAGAAATGAACCCATGTGTATGGCTTCAGGAAGGAGCCATTTTATCCAGCCTGGGTGACAGGATTGGAAAGTCTAATGGTTCTGGGAGGAGGTGACAGCTGAGTTTTACAGGATGAGTAGGAGTGTAAGGTCCTCCACTTTAGCTGTGAAAACATTAAGTCATGTCATCTTTTTCAAGTCACACACAGGGCATTTACTATTCTGTTTGTTGAACTTATTCTCCTTGGTGAGGGACTAAGGCAGCGTGGCAGAAGTCGCCATTTTCATTATCTTCAGCATTGTCATTACTACAATACCATCTTACATCTGAGGAAGACGCTACAACACACAAGACTGTCACATGCATTTTATGTTCATGTCATAGAAAGGGAGGAAGCTCAAGTATCATATTAGCCCCACTGCAACTCAAGGCCATCAAAGGTCATGGTGAAGAAAGGCCTAGAATTCAAGTCTTTAACTTCCATGCTAAAACCGATGGGCTGAAAACGTGCAGCCCCTCGTCCGCATGAGAGGGAGGCCTGAGCACCTGGCCTGGACCTGAGCTCGCCGTAATTGAATGAATGAATATATTTTCAGCTCCAAATTAGAAATGCATATGGAGAAGACTTTTCTCCAGAAAATTTGAACCAGAGTCAACATTCAGCACCATTTCACCGGGCTTTATCGTGCATTTTGTGATCAGATTCACAGCACATTTATTCTCACAATTTTCCTTCTTTTCAAGCAACTGTCTGAGGGATTCCACAGCCCTGAGCACTTCCAGACTTGCAGCTGGTGAGATAACCCAGCATGCTTGGAAGGATGGCAGGATGCGGAAGGCTGGAGTGACTACGTGGTGGTAAGTAAACATGTGGATAATTAAGAAGTAGTCATGTCAAAAGAAAGAAAGAAAAAAAAAATAATCTCCAAAATAGGAAGACCAGGATTAGAGAGACAGTGTGAATAAGCAGCCCTGGATCAGGACCCAGGGGTGCTGGCTCTGGGCTGTTGTTCAGTCTCTCGGGCCCCTGGTTTTATCATCTACTCACTAAGAATTGCAGCCTCCATCCCACCCACCCCAAACACATGTCGAGAGAATCGATAGAAATGTCTAATACAAAGTCGTGTGAATTATAAAGCAGTGAGCAAATGCAGGGAAGTTATTATTATCCCTGACAAATTGAGAGGGGCTTCCCTTTCCACCCGAGGCTGCCAGACATGGGTTTATAGTAATAACATCTGTTGGGTTGAGGCTCCATTGAAGATCACAAGACCCACCGAGGCAGCAGTCCCGTTCCAGGCTCTCTGAAGTGCAGATGAGGACTGGTTCTCAGAAAACTCCCGTGACTGTTTTGTTTTCTGTTTGTTTCCAAGAGAGAGATAATGACTGAATTCTTCGGGGCTTTCTTTAAGTTTCCTTCCAGACGGCACCGACAGCTTCCAGAATACCCAGGTGCTGGCTCTCGCTCAAGCAGTCATGCACTGGGACACGGCGGACAGAGCGTGTGACATTCAGACCAGGGCCCCCACATGGTTCCACAAAGCCCTGAGCAGGCAGTTGTTAGGACACCAGGGATTGGTGCCAATTATCAGCAGTGTGGGGAGGGAGATGCAGGGCTGGGTGGACCTTGGGTAATTTTCTTGACTTTTCATGGCCTCAGTTTATGGATCTATATAATGGGGGCATTATTTCTTGCTATTATACTGTGGGGTTGTCACAATAATTAAATAAACATTACTTTAAAACTCAGAAGAGCTCTGTTCCTATAGGCAGTTAGGTCCAAATACCTACCCTACAACTAAATAATTAGTAATTGCATATGCCTCTATATTGGGGATAAGAATTGACATTGATTGTCAAGTGAGCACTGTCCCAAGCATGTCACAGTTTTTAACGCTTTTTATTTGATTTTTTTGCAGCCAACCAGGATAGGCACCTGTATAGCCCCAGAGGATTCAAATTTCCAAAGTAGACAGTAAAACAGCTCTCAGAGGTACAGAGGGATTTCGACTTAGGAGATCTGGCTCCAGATCTTGACCCACTCTGCTCTGCTGCTTCTCATCCATGCCGACATGCAAATACACGCAATTTAAAACACTTATTTTGTAACAATTTCAGACTTGCAGAAAAGTTGCAAAATAAGTACAGAGAACACATATAATTTTTCACTTAGACCCCCCAAATGTTAACGTTCCCCTTTCTGTCTCCCCATCTCATTATACTCATGCATTCGTATTTTTTCTGAACCCTCTGAGAGTACCTTGCAGACAGGACGCCCCCCTCCGCCGTATCTAAATCCCTCTACATCCCCTTCCAGCAAAGACGTTATCTTCCAGAGCACAGAGTAATTCCTCAAATCAGAAATTAACGTGACACAGCACTACTGTTCATCTAGAGGTCATGCTCACCTTTTGCCAATGAGCTCAGTGCAACCTTCATAGCAACAGTTATGTGGGTTTTGAGGTTTGTTTATTTTTAATTTTCCGGGACCCCAACCAGAATCACATGGTGCCTGACCTTTGCATTTTTTAAAGCAACTGAGTTTGTGCTTTTCTGATCTTTTCCCCTCTGTGCGATTCAGGGTGCATCCCGTGGAGCTGAGCTCTGTTATCATGGGCTCATATTGGGGTGCATGTACTATCTATTTGTCCCACTACTGGTGGTGTGAAAACTCATATTTTTAAACCTTGTTCCTTGTTTACTGTGTAACATGTCTCCCCTGCCCCCTCAGGGCGGGTGGAGCCCCACTCCTGTCCACATCCCCGCCTTGCCCAGCTTGGGTTGTGCCCACAATCTGGCTCAGGAAGCTCTGCTCTGTTCTCTCCTTTTGGGCCCAGATTACCAAGTGATTCCTTCACGTTCACTCCCTCCAAGGCAGAGTAAAGGCCACGCCTAGCTGTCTCCTCCTTCCTGCCCCATATAGGAAGAACGCCCACTCAATTTTGGGAGCACTGGGCCAGCTCAAGCCCAGACCCAGCTGCCCAGAGAATGCAGATGGAAGCAGAATACAGGCCCCCAGGGAGATGGCACTGCCCCCGCCAGCCCACACTGCCGAGGTGATGACACCTCATCCTCTGCCACCATCAAACTGCCCCCTCTTCCTCCACCCCCACTCTCCCACCTTATTGCCCAACAATCAGAGTTCTGTTAGCGGCTCACCAACAAACCAGTATAGTTAAGCGTCAGAGGTTTCTAGCAAGTCAATGTGTTTCTTCCCCGATGGCATGTTTACTTATTATTAGCAATTTCTTAGACACAAGACCTCAAGTAACAGAGCGAGGCCTGTGGTGGGGAATCCAGGATGGAGGAAGGCTTCTGGACAGTGTTCAGGACCCCACACCACACACTAGGGTCGGTGGCCCCCGGAGAACACAGCCACCACTCACCCCACGGGAGCCAGAAGGTCCCATGTCGACTTGGCTCCCAGTCACCTTTAATAAGGCAGAAAAGGAGAGGCGCTCAGCACCGTCTTCACGGTACCAAATGGCCTTTGTCCCTTTGTTCTCATTCAAAACCACCTCTTCAAATCACCTTTGTGTTTATTGAAGGCCTGGCTCTGTGAGGTGCCAAGCTCAATGTGAGCCAGGGAGAACCCCAGGAAATGTGCCTCTGATTTCCTGGAATTTTCAGGCTTCCCCACTCTCCCCGGCCAGCAAATGCAATGAGCATTCGGGGACTTTGTCAAGGTGTCCTCACCTGCTCACATGTAACGGTGTTTGGCAGGCACACGCGCTGCATCCACACAGAGCCAGGACTAAGGGAAACAGCAGCAACAACTGCTGCTTTCACAAGCACTGACCTCACTCTCCGGGGGACATGGGCAGATGCCGGACCCTGACAGCAGCACAGACAGGAGGCAGGTCAAGGACGTAGGCTCTGGGGCGCCGGGGAATGCACCGCAGGGCCAGCTCTAAGGCTTGCAAGCGGGGGGCCTCAGATGAATGACTGCACCAGCTCCACTGCCTTACCTGTACAACTGGAATATTAATGCACCTATCTCGTAATATTGTAGGGACAGAAGGAGCTAATTCTCAGTAAATGGACTGGTGCTTCTGCCAGCCAAAATATAGTCCCCCAAAACTGAGAGTATCATTAAGATGTCTGAGCCTGTCTGGAATTGGGAGGGTGTCAATCCAACATGTCTCTCTACCCCCACCTCCAGGTGGGTCTGGAATTTCTAGCTAGAAGAGCTTCAGGGCACTGTCCTCTAAGAAACTCACACTGACCCTGTTTTTAAGAAGCCCAAGAAAATTGGAAATTTCTTTTTTTTTTTTTTTTTTTTTTTTTTTTTTTTTTAAGATTTATTTATTTATTTGTTTGTTTGTTTATACAAGCATTGGGTACAGTCAGAAGTGCGGAAGGGTGAGAGAATTCACCAGAGCCAGAGGGGAGAGCAGAGCAGGCAGATTTACTGAAACACACTGCTGAGGGGAGCAGCGGGCGGCAGGAGAGGTCTGCGCGCCATGTGGGACCCTCGCTGGTGGCTGGGGATTGAACCGGTGCTGCAGAGGCTGCGGGCAGCTTCACAGCCCAGCGCTCAACCGCTGCGCCACCAGGGGAGGCCCGAAAATTGGAAATTTCTATGTCAAATATGGGGGAGGGAGGAAGGGAGCAATGCACCCAAAGAGTCAAGGAATCTTATTTAGGACACACCCCCCACACACACATACACACACAGCGCTACTAATATCTGGAAGATAAATAGCCAGGGCTGGGCCAGACTTTCAGCAATGGAAAATGTCTCTGTATTCGAGTTTTAGAAATTTAGGTCAGCTTATCACTTTTTCATCTTCTTGAAATATTTAACATTTGTTAAAAGGTTATATTTTGTCTCCTTTTCTCTTGTTTCTAGGTGACTATTTTTAATCATTAGCATACTGTTAAGTATTCTTCAGATATTTGAACTTCTATCTAAACTCTTACTTGCCGATTTTTCCATGTTCTCTGACTACTTTTGCCTTTCAGATCTTCAGTTACTTTTTTTTTTTTTTTTAGAGGCATGTTTTATTTCTTTATTTATTTGTTTGTTTGTTTGTTTTGTTTATACAAGCACTGGGTACAGTCAGAAGCGCGGGAGGGTGAGAGAATTCACCAGAGCCAGAGCAGGGAGCAGAGCAGGCAGAAGGACCGAGGTACACTGCTGAGGGGAGCAGCGGGCGGCAGGAGAGGTCTGCGCGCCATGTGGGACCCTCCTCCAGTGGCCGGGGAGCAGCCGGGGATCGAACCGGCGCTGCAGAGGCTGCTGGCAGCTTCGCAACCCAGCGCTCAACCGCTGCGCCACCGGGGAGGCCCTTCAGTTACTTTTTTTATGTTGTTCTTTTAAATCTCTTAATATGTGGCTACTTCCTTTTTCTTGTTTTGGCAACATTTCTTTTTAGCTTTTAAGTTTATCTTTAACCATGAAAGCCTTTTATCTCTTCTTAGAATAATGTTAACTATTACAAAATTTTATTTCTTATCATTCTAAAATGAAAGGCTGTCTTCCTAGTCACTGCATTTTTCAAGACTTAATTTCTAAAATTTCTGACTTGTCATCTGTCTTGCGCTCATGAAGGTCACAACTTTTACACGTGCTGATGCTCACGTTGGCTGGGTGGCGCACGGAAAGCTCCAGGCTCTTGGAGAGGGCACAGCACACAGTGACTTCTGCAGGGGGCATTTCGATATCTCTGCCCTGTCTGCTCCTCCACAGCTGCCTGTCTGCGGACCCTTAAATGAACTTCAATCAAATTTTTTTTTATATATATTTCTTACATCATTTTTTATTTTTGCACAATGTATGCATTTCATCTTGATTATATTCACCATACAGTTGCACCCCCCTTGTTTTGGTGGTCTCACTCATAGTGGGAGTTCAGAAAAACTTCAATCAAATTTTAAGTCAGTCCTAAAAAGTCAAAATATAATCCTGGGCCTCCCCTGGTGGCGCAGCAGTTGAGCGCTGGGCTGCAAACCTGCCCGCAGCCTCTGCAGAGCTGGTTCAATCCCCAGTCGCCGGCGAGGGTCCCACATGGCACACAGACCTCTTCTGCCACGCCCACTGCTCCCCTCAGCAGTGTGTTTCGTCAGTCTGCCTGTTCTGTTCCCTGCTCTAGCTCTGGTGAATTCTCTCACCCTCCCGCACTTCTGACTGTACCTAGTGCTTGTATAAATAAATAAATAAATCTTAAAAAAAAATTATAAAAAAAATATTAAAAAAATCTAATCCTGTGTGAAACCCTCGCATTTAAATTTCTTCCTCGAGACAAAAGAGGTTCTACTTATGCAAACATCATACACAGCTCCTTCCTCTTAAGTTGCTCATGGCCTCGCCCAGGGTCAGCCCTAGCCAACCCTGGGAAATCAGCAGGCCAGGTGAGAGTTGAGCAATCTGCCAGGCAGGAGTGGTGAGAGGCAAGTGAGTCCAAAGTCAAAATTTTCAGAATTTCTTCTCCATTCTCCAGCATTCACCTGGAGGAAGGCCATGCTGGCTCACAGGCTGGTGTTTATAAGCTGTTGTCCCACTCAAAACAGAAAGGCCAATTCCAGCATGGAATAAAATTGGGCAGGACAAGATAAGCCTTGTTCTAAGTCACCATGTGGAGCCTCCAAATGATGGTTCTTAGTAGCCAATGCAATGGAAATCATCACTTTAATCTGAACTATACTTTAAGCCTTTCAATGCCCTTTCACATTCCCTACTTCATATGATTCTCATAGGTAGGCCAAGAGGAATGAACTGGAACAATCAATCAGTTGTC